TCTTTTGGGCAACTACCTCTCCCTTACTTGCAGTTCATCAGGTTTGTGTGGGACTGACCCTACTTTCCAACTCCAGAGATATATATACAGGATCCAGAAATATATAAAGGAGTTATCAGAATATCTCATCCTTTAGCATAATGATTGTTCCTAGACTATTCTATGCAACACCCAAGATTTTTACCATAACTATCAAAGCAGAGGCATTCTCTTTCTCTTCAGATGGCTAATTAGTAGAATAAGCCTGGAGCATGAAGCTAGCCCAGAGAGACCAAAGATGAAAAACAGAATCCTGGTAACATAATTTAATCATCTTGTTCCCTTTCCATCACTCCCTGCCTTCCTTTTTATTTCTCACGATTATTAAAGGTGTGTTTATATCCTTTGTAATGAAAAGTATTTTGACTGAATGCAATATCTGACACTTCCATTATCTCTGTTCTGTGTTTCTTAAAGCTGTGTTCACCCTGGCCCACCAAAGTCTTTCTAGGGAGTTGGAGTTAACCAGATTAAACAAAGAGGTACAGGTCCCCACACCATGATGGGGTTGGGTGTAGGACTGAACTGAATCTGCGACCAGCTTTCACTTGTTATACTTTTGCCGGAGTGAGGGAAGGAGGGCGGTTGTAGGGAATGGATTCTGCCCCTTTCTGGAGTAGCCAGCAGTGTCTACACTTCGTTTCATTTTTCTATGGGGCTCGTTACTTTCCAGACCAGAAACTTCATTCTGCAGAGAGTTAATGTTGAGCTAACCTACTCCTTCTCCTCTGCATCCCCTGCATCACCAGCACAGAGCCATGACAAGGACACTGACTGGCTCTCCCTGAGCTCTTGCAGCCCTAGTCCTTCCTCCACCATGAAGCCTTCCTTGGCTATTGTAGGCCACCTGGATTCCCTCCACTTCTGAGTCTGTTATGAGCTTCTGGATTATATTGTGATTTTTGTTGCACTGGTACTGGACATTTTACAATTTCTTTTTAAGGTCTTGAAAGGCAAGAGTCTCCTTCTGAAGTTCTTAGCACAAATTCTGGGAAGGGTTACTCTATAAATATACATGGTTCAGATGATCTTTAATACAAATATCATCATTACCATTATTACAAAGATAGAAGATACATTAAGAAAATCTAGTTTCTACCTATAAAACGTATCAACAGAGAACAAAGAGAACCATCCACAGATAATTTGCAAATAGGATTCTCCCTTTTGCTACTATGTATTCCACTATGTATCCATCATCTCTTTATATTTGTATAAGATCTCAGTAACACCTGATTTTTCACATGTCACTAAAATGTATTGATGTACAGAACACAGGAAAAATACAGGAGCATAGGGGCTGGGGATTTAGCTCAGCGGCATAAGCGCCTGCCTTACAAGCAGGCAGTCGTGAGTTCAATCCCCGGTACCGATAAAAAGGAAAAAGACAAAAAAAAAAAAAAAAAAAAAAAAAAACCAGGAGCATAAAAACATCTGCTTAGCTAGAATCTGATGGGGAAAGACATCAGAGCTATTATTCCTTTCTTGTCAGTCCTATAGAGGGACGATTCAATATTGCTAATTGTTCCTCCTGAGGAATTCTGCTCAGTCTGTTACGGTGCATCTCCTAGGATGTCATGAGACAAGCCTGATCCCTGGTTGAATAAATTAGAGCAAGCAGTTAGGGCAATTGAAGATGGTGTGCAAAATGGGTAAGATGACATCTCAGAGTGATGGGAAAGATCATCTGCCCCAGACTCAGTGATATGAGGAAAGCCCCTGCTGCTCTCCACTGCTCCATAGTTTAATTTTGTTGCAGGAGTGGGGCTGGCAAGAGGACTGTGTCCTTCTCCTTCCTTCTCTCCTGTGTCCATACAGGAAGCTAGATGGAGACACAAATGATGCTTAGGCTGTTTTTCAGATGCCTTCTCCAGCTCCTCAACCCCAGCACTCCCTCCACCGTAGGTAAGGTTAGGGTAAGGTCTAACCACTTGTAGGGGAAGACTCTGCCTTGTTCTGATACCAACTAAACCATCTGCTGCTTCCTCTAGAGAGTCTTACGTTGCTTTGCTGACACTGCCTCAGTTTTCTTCCTCTGAGTACTGAGAATAAAGCCCACATCCAGCAGTCATGCTAAAGTTCATCAGGGCTGGGATGAGGGGGCTTTGGGAACTGTACAGTGCTGAACACATTACTTGTGGTTTGTTACGATATTCTAACCACAGTCCCCATAGACTCTTCTGTCTCTCCTTCATCTTGTGCTCAGCTCCATCAGAACTCACTGTTCTGTTTATCCTGCTTTTGGCACGGGCTGCTTTCTCTTGTCTGCATTTAGCCTCCAGAAGTTTCCCTGAAACCAATCAATATCAAGGCATCGTAGCCTTGATAGTTTCAGGTGTGCTTCAGTTTCTGGGACCCAAATATTGGGGATAGGGGGACAGGAGGAGGATAGAATCCTTAGAAATGGTTCCAGGAGAGGTATGCTCAGTTTCATTTTATTCTGGGATGAACGCTGCCTATACTGAGCCCCTCACAATAGCTAACTCCTCACTTACGTCCACAACATTTCAGCTTCCTTTTTTTTTCTTTCTTTCCTTCCTTCTTTCTTTTATACAGGATCTTGCTATATAATTCAAGCTAGATTTGAACTCATTATGTAGCCCAGACTGGCCTCAAACTCATGGTTATCTTCCTGCCTCAGCCTCCCAAGTGCTGGGATAACATTTCAGCTTCTAATATGTATCTTTATTTGACTCACATAACTATCTTGAGTCAATAAATATTTCTCACTTCACAGATCAAAGAATGTTTATTCAAAACAATACGATGAGTATGCTGTAGAGTCAGGACTCAGACCCAGATTTCTGGAAACCTGGAGTTCAGTGTTGAAATGCACTATTGTATACTCTAGAACACTCTAAATCATTATTTTGGGCTCATTTCTCACTCCTTGGGGCTCATTTCTGCAGGAAGTAGAAATGACTGAATTATGAGTACCATTCTGTCAGGTGGTAGGTGGCATCCCCTTCTTTAAGTCACTCATGGTTTTGCAAAAGAATTGTTGAAGGTCATTCTTCTAGACTTTCTTCCTTTGTTCCTGACTATATTTTTCTACCCAGATCAACACCTAAGTCCAGGCTCTATGTTCTGCTTATCCCCCCTTTCTACTGTTCTTTTGCTCATGGTGTTTACACTGCCTTGCTCCGATCTCTGGTTCTCTGTGCCTTACAGAGATTTAGATTTACCTCTCTGTCACTGCTTGATTGGGATGACTTTATGTAGTCTCATAGTCAATACCACACACTCATACATGCTATGTGGATCAGACAATTCGTTAATGCTTTATGCCATACTCTCTTTTAATCAGCAGCCAACATACTATTTTTTCCACTTGTATGCACAGTAACTAAGGCTCCAAAATTAATCTGCTCAAAGTCCCAAAACTAATGATGAGGACCCAGGAATTGAACCTGGATCTGTCTTACTATAATCCGTATATGCTTAACTACTCTGCTGTATAACCTTCTTAGATTCCAACATGTGGCCTGATGTTTAGGATTTTAATGGGGGCCGGGGACTTGTTCAGCAGAATAAGTGCCTGCTTGGCAAATGCAAGGTCATCAGTTTGATTCCTGGCACCAAAAAAAAAAAAAAAAAAAGGATTTTAAAATAGTCTTCCATAGGTAAACAGATGTGTATTGAGTTTCCAGGCTTCCAAACTACATGGCAGAGTTTGTCCTCAGAAAGATCTTGCCCTCTCCACCTGGCACAAACTTGCTGCTTAATAAATTATTAAATCCTCCTAGAATTTGAATGCATTTTTCACCCAGACAGAGCTGCCTAATGCCTCTTCTCAAGCACATGGGTCTGTGATCCATTCTCAACAAGCCTCCTCAGAGATTCTCCTTTTCCTCTTCCACCTGTTACCCTTTAAGAACCTCTGTTATAGATACTAGACTGGGTGAAAATATCATAGGCAGTCAGACTGGGTTAGGCCTTTGAAGGAGACAATACAGAGGAGGAAAATGCATTACAACTGCTGCTAGAGGTGCATCTGTGGGAGGCCAGACCGCAAGATAAAGAGAAAATGAACAGGCCTCCATGCCTCCCTGAGATAAACAATAAATTAACATCAGTCACCCCAGGAGGTGACCAAGACCCCTGATTTATATTTTCCTATAAAAGGTCCTGGTTTCTTTTCTCGTACACTTGCTATGTGAGCTGCTTTCCCCATTGGATTAATATCACTGAAATAGCTAACCCTGTGATCTTATTGGCTGATCATAGTTTTGTCCTTCACTGTACCCACCTTGTGATTTTGTGCCCACCTTATGATTTTGCTCTATAAAGCTTCTGTAAAATGGAGTATGTGGTAACCCACTTTTTTGGTCTCCTTGTCTGTCTGTCTGTCTCTCTTTCTCTCTCTCAATACTTTCTATTCTTAACATTCACTGTTCCTTAGAATTCATTCCTCAGTTTCGGGAAACATGAACTTGTGTATGTGATATTTGGCATGTTGGGAATTACATTTATTTCCCCTGTATCACCTCCAGTTTAGAACAGTCAGGCATGGGTGATCCTGATGTACTTAATTGCTAAAATCCTTTCTGGCAGACTTGGAAACCAGGGCCACAAGCCTGGCTGAGTGATGAAGGGTCACACAGCCTCAGCTGCTTTCATTGACTCTGAAAAGAAAAAAAGCTTTTATAATGGAAACATTCTTGCCAAAATCATGTTTTCCACTTGTAGCTTTTACAGAAAAGGGACATCCAATGAAAAAGCATTAGTGCCAAGAGGGCTTGCAAAAACCAGCTGCTGAAGCCCCCAAATAGGAAACAATTTAGCCAAGTTTACCCAGGCCATTAACTTTATCCTAGCCCATTGTTAAACCTGGCAAGAGATGCATTAGAATCTAAGGCAAGAGCCAAGAAATTTGAGTCATAACCCTCAGGGACTTGATGTTTTACTTTGTTGTCCATTAGCATTTCTATTGTATGATTTTGTACCAAGCAAAGGGAAGTCTTTTATTCAAGCCTCTTAGAGATTTCCTGTTTGGATATTTGCTACTTGGCTACTTCAAAAGGATAGAAAAGGGCTGGGAGAATAAAAGTTGTGGAGCACTTATGTAGGGTTCACTCCATACCATGAGAAAAAAGAAGGAAGAAAAAGAAGGAGAAGAAGAAGAAGAGGAAGAAGAAGAAGAAAGAAGAGGGCAAAATCTTATGCCACACAACCTAGGCTGGTCAGTGGTGTACTCTCAAAATGGTGGGTATCACTGAGATGGCTGGGAAATAGGAACAGAGGTGGAGAACCAAGTGGCAATGCCTTAGCTGTTTTATCTAGCTGAAGAGGGTCTAGAAACCAGAATCTCTGTGGACCAGTTAAACCTCACCCCCATTACAGGAACCTTTGCTTATAATGTTATGACTGATACAATTTGAGCAGTTTAAAAGTTTAACTGAGAGACTCAGCAGGGAGTCAGGGTTCTTACTTTGTAAATATCCTCATCCTGGGCAAAGGAGGCCAAGGAGATTTTGTGAGTGCTACACCTGCCCTGGTGGGGCGGGGCAGGGTGGGGTGGGGGTGGGGGGGTGGGGTGGGGGTCGGTGGCCTGTGTACAGTATTAGCCAGGAGATGAGGTTTGTTTTCTCCTTTTGCTCTGGCTGCTACCTTGAAGTATTGCAGTGCCATGCCACCCTGCCTTGGAGTCAGCTGATCATGGACTGAAACCTCTAAAAAGTGTAAGTAAAATAAACCTTTCCTTCCTTCATTTTGGATGTTGGGTATTTTGTCCCAGCAACAACAGAAAAGTAACCAAGGCAGATGTCATCTGTGTTCATGGAGAATTATTTCTCATCTTGAAAAATCCCTCTTCGATGTGCCTTCAGATACACAAAAAAGAGTGGCAGCCTCTGTAGACTTCTTTCCCAGATAACTGTCTTGATCAGAAAGTCAGTGTCAGTGTGACATTCTGAAAAACCTGGCTTTTAAAAGTTAAAATTTCTGCACTTCGGAGCTAAAGGGTAAGAGTAAGAATCGAAGGAAAGACAATATATTTTTAGTTTCAAATATTAAGAACCTAATGGGACTTTATTAGAAGAATATACTGAGCTCTCTGCAGCAGCAGAATCAAATAAAGAGGTGATTGGCCGAGGCCCAAGAAGCTAGGCTCAGGGCAGAAGGGACCCAGAGGCCACACTCTTTCTCACCTTATGGTGGGGCTCAAGAAATTTACCCATGGGATACTGTGATTCAAGAAACAAATGAGGTTTATTAAAGTTGCAGTGGTCAGTCAGCTTAGGCCATTGAAATTGCTGGCTACTGGCTGGCTGGCTTTGATCCTTTTGTTCCCTTTTCTTTTCTTTTTTTTTTGTCTTTTTCTTTCTTTATCGGTACCGGGGATCGAACCCATGACTGCCTGCTTGCAAGGCAGGCGCTTATGCCGCTGAGCTAAATCCCTAGCCCTATACCCCTGTATGAGTTCACAAGGTCAGGGGGTTACCATGGATACCACCTTTTTGCAGCACTATTATTATTTTGGAATGTTATAACTTCTTATACATTTGGTTAACTGACACACAGAATGTGGGCACCGGGCAGTTTGGTCACCTTGAGATAAATCTGTTTGTTTCTCCTTTCTGTAGTTATTATGGCCAATTAAGGGACAAGAGAAGGTCTTTTCAAGATCTGGCCAAAGTTTGTTCGCTGTTTAAAATCTGTTAGCTAAACATCTAAGCTATAAACTATAGGCCATAAAATAAGTGAAGTTTTCAAAACTAGGGTTTAGGAGGTTACAAAGGGGAAAAAAGGGCAGAGAAAAGAAATCAAATAGTAGGGGTTACAAATGCCCCACAACCTTATGTTTGTGTGAGAAGAATTGGGAGAGGTGACAGCTGGCTATCATAGGAAACGATTTGTTAGCGGTCCTAGAGCAAGTTAGGAACAGATTCAGGGCTAGAAGTAGAATAATTTAAAATTATTAATAAAAATGGAAGTCTGGGTTAAGTATGGAAGTATACTTCATACTAAACTTCATACTAGTTACTATGCTATTCTTTTTTACTTCTATTTTAAAAATACTACTTTTTATAGAGGATAGATCAGAGAGGAATAAGTGTAAATATAGGAAAGTTGGTTAAGAACTCTGTTAGCTTGGGCCAAGGATGCAGCTCATTAGCCTAAGTGCCTGCCTAAAAGTCAAGGTGCTGAGTTCAATTTCCAGTATAAAAAACAAAAAACAAAACCTTTGGTAGCTCTCTAGGGGAGAAATGATGGTGGTTTGGACTAAAGCCACGGCAAAGGAAATGGAGAAAAGTGGACAGATTTGAGGCATCATAGAAGTAGGCCCCTAGGACTTGTTGGATTCAAAGTGGTGACTACGAAAAGAAAATCCAAGGAATTAAGGATGATGGCTAAATTTCTGTGACGACTGGAGCAGAACTGAGCTCTAATCTGGACATGTTCAGTTTAAGACTTAAGAAATTCTAGTGGGCACTTGGGTATGCACTGTCAAAGTCTTGTCATCAAAACTAGATGAGTACTTCAAGAAAGAAAATGTACGTAGAGCAGAGTGCCCAATTGTTATTTGAGCCATCTTTTCTGCATAGCCAAATCCTTCAGCTGGGCCTCTGGGTAGGTACTTCAGGCAGGGATCACAACCATTATCTATCTATGGTGAATCCCCTGGAATGTAAAGCCAGATTCATCCTTTGGAGACATCTAAGAAGTAATCAAATAAGACTGTTTAACAAGCATCAAAACTTCTCCTCCAAAGTAGAGTCTTTGGATAACCAAGTAAATGATGAATTCTAAACTATTTTGATACTTCTCTTTAGAGGTATCTGCAGGGCCAGGTTTTAAGCCTGGGGAAACTTACCAAACCGACTTTCAGATGATATAGGAGTGTTTCATGTGGTAGACCACAGTATTTTAGCCTCTCTCATAAGGAGATGGCATCTATCTTCACACCTCTCACCTTAAAACTGAACATGACCATGTGACTTGCATTAGTCTATGGGATATTAGCATATCTAGTTCAAACAGGGCCTTAAGAAGTACTTGCTGGGAAAACTTCTGCTGCCACATAAAAAGGTCTGGGCAGACTTCTGGAGGGTGAGATCATAGGAGAGAGGTCACCTGGGCTGACATCCCAGACATGAGAAATAAGCCAGCATAGACCAACCAAACTTAGTGGAAGAAACAGAATTGGGAGAGGTAATAAATATTGTTGTCTTAAGACATTAAGTTTTGAAGTGATTGCTTATGACCTTAGAAGACAATTAACTCTTACCAGGAATCTAAAGGTGGTTAACAGGTAGATATTCTCTTATCCTTAATCTTCTTGGGAGATTTGTATTTGTACAGCCATCAAAGGTTGGAACTAAAAGATGAAAATTTAGTTGAGGAATGTAAGCAACAGCCAGTGAATAGTGGGAGATATCTGTAGCAGAAGTGAAATTTTTCCAGGGTTCCTGAAATAGCTCCACAAAGGTGGCTGGGGAGGGAGGGGGTGTGATTTGGGTTTCCCAGTTATATGTTCTCATAGATTTATGTATCTTTCCTTCAAAATACTTTGAAAATATATTCAAGTGATGATTTTACAATGTCTAGACTAAACTATGAAGCTATATGCTTTATAAAGACAAAGTCAAAGTCATGCAGCTCTGATTTGCCACTGATTGTACCCTGGAACACAGAGGATACTTTTTTGTTGAATAAATTAATGAACAAATTTGAGTTTTACCTATTTCATATAAGGAACTCAAGCCCTTAAAAAACATCACATAACACTATTTGTATCTCATGGGCCAGCTTTTATATGCAGGTCCAAGCACAGACTATTACTTGATTCTTTAGCTGTGGTACATAGTCTGGCATAGGCTTCAGATGTGGTAGCAGAAATCGATGAGATCCCAAAACACTAATTTCTGTAATTCTTTTCTTTCTCCCCAAACTGTTGATAAAGTCAAGTAAATATTCTTCAGACTCTCCAGGAAACTCAATATCCAAGGAAGAACGTTTGAGGCAGAAGCAGATGATGAGTGGATAGTCAGGTCTGGAAGATGCTCATATCATTCTCAGTTATAAGGCTACAGTCACAATGCAATTGGAAACCAAGAACTCAGCTGAGGTTAATTAACTCTGAAGAGCCTTTGAAATCTGTCACTATCAGCATCCATCTACTTTTCATCTGAGATATTATCTCAGATGATATTATGAAGATGAAAATTGAAAAAGCATGATTCAGACGGAGCTGCATTCAAATGATGCTAACAGGCACTTGGCCATGTTAATGTTTCCAGGTCTGTTTCCTTGCCTACTAAACTGGATATCTAAGAAGTAAGATACCATATTCTAAGCACTTTCATTAGACTATAGGTACCTTGAAAGCAGGGACTATTTCCTCTCATCTTCATTTATCCAATATTAACAGTACTAGGCCTATACTATTCTGTAGTTACTCAGAACAGGTGAATTTCCTCTTCATGGTGATTCAAGATACACTCCAGGCACCATTATTTTTATACTGTTAGGCTGATTAGGAGTTTTTCTTCTTCGTGGGTCTCAAACTTTCCCTTCAATAAAATAGAAGCCTGGATAAGATCTCCAAGATCTTTTACAGCTCTAATATTTCATGGACCTGTGCCCATTCAGTACACTCTACTCACCGCTGCTCCTAGAAACTAATAATGCTACAAAGAAGACAATAACAAGTCACAAATCACTATTTACAGATACACCTACATTTAAAACATTCTATAATATAGCTACAATACTCAGGCCTACTTTTCCTTTTAAAAGGTCAAACTTATTTTTTTAATCTTTATTTGGATTATTCAGGGAAATGAAATCTGGGACAAGTTGCACTAACATGCATTATACAGCTTGAACCTGGGTGGCTAATTGCACAATTACCGTGATTGATAAATGCTGCACTGCAATCAGCTGGAAGCTGCTGCCTTCTTCTCAATGAGGTCACAGAGGAGGGCTGGGGTATTGCCATCTAACAAGCAGGTCTGTTTGTTGGATGAACATTAAAAGATTTTGCCATTATAATATTTTAAGTCTTGATTCTATTTGTTGTGAATATGCTTGCTCCTTGAACTGGCTCGTGAATTTTAAAAACTAAGTTTTTAAATACAAAAATTCAGCCTTTGCTTGGACATGCTGTAGGAGAGAAAAGATTATTCGCTACAGGTACTAAAACATCTAGAAGTTATGAAGGTATTGGTCTAGTACTAGAGTACATGGGTATTATTACTAGTACTCTAGTAATCCTAGTACTAGAGTACATGGGTATTATTGTTCAGACAAAATAGTAACCATCCATGACACTGTGTACAATTTTATAATGTAGAAAGCACAAGTATAGCTGTTGCTCTGGGAAGGGAACATATTTTGTCATAGAGAAGTTAATCTAGTCACTTTCCTAAAACACCTCAGTGCTGGAGCATGGAGGCTGCAAAAAGCCCTGTTCCGGGAACCAGATGAAAATGGCCCAATGAGGGCCGGGGATTTAGCTCAGTGGCATAAGCGCCTGCCTGGCAAACGTGAGGTGTGAGTTCAATCCCCAGTACCAAGAAAGAAAAGAAAAAGAAAGAAAGAAAGGAAGGAAGGAAAGAGGAAAGAAAGAACAGGAAGAAATAAAAAAGAAAAGAAAGAAAGAAAATGGCCCCAGAGAGTCAGACACAGGGAAAGTCAGCACCTGGCCCTCAGAAGCACTAGGCATTTTGTGTTGAGGGCTTTGGGATCCTGTCACCTCAGAGACTAACTCTACTTTCCTGAGCTCACCTATCACTCAGATGAGTCTGAGTTGTTGAGCAATGTGTAAACAGATCAGAGACATAAGTCTTCTCTCCAGTGGATTTAGAATCTGATGCCCGGAGATTGAATCCTAATGTGGCTCTCACACTCACCAGCTGTGTGATCTTGGCCAAGTCTCTAACTTATTTGCATCATATTTCTCTAAAGAGATGCAATAAAGAATGTTTGTTTAAGAGCATAGACCTTGGAACCCACTAGCTGAGTCAGAACCCCCCAGCTCTACCATTTACTCATTTGTGACCTTAGGCAAACAAGAACCTCTCTGTGCCTTTGTTTCTTAACCTTTAAGCGAGGTTAATTATAGCATCTCCCTCACAAAGATGTTAGGAAGAAAAACCAATTAATATACATAATGTCCTCAGAAAATGTGTAGTGTAAAGTCAGCATGACATTGTGTTAGCTAAAACAACACTGGGATGATAGTTATGGTCTCTGAAATCAGGTTTGTTTTGCAGATCATATTGAAATGGTAAGGGGAAAAAAAATACCACAGAGTTATAAGTGCCTGAAGGGATGTAAGACCATCCAAATAAACCTTTTTATCTTATAACTGGAAAATCAAGACTTTGAGAGGAGAGCAACCAGACCAGAATCACATCTGATTAAGTGGCAGAGTCGAGGTCTCCTCAATTCCAGTTGCAATTCTGTTCTCTGCATTGCATCAAAGAAAGAACATCTGGATATGGTTGACTGGATAATCCCGTCAGTTAGTCAGTGGACTCGCTGCCAGTGAATGCACTTTATTAAGATGATGAGCTGCAAGTAAGATGGAGACAACTGAGGAGAGACCACATACACACACCCACACCCACAGACTTTTGAGGTAGCATGTTAGCACAGGGAATAGAAGGCTGAGGGTTCAAGATATGATGAAGAAGAAAGATTTTTCAGGAATCATTGCCAGCTTCATAGCATTATTTAAGTAAAATCAGCTGAGTTCCTATACCCACAGCAAATTACAATCATCAGCAAATCCATTCTGACTTCATAGTATCTTTTTTTCCCCTCCAGCTGTTTAAGAAGGCTGTTTGGTAGACACCAATGTGTCATGTTCAGGAGAGTAGTTAGGATTGAAATCTTGGAGTTCAATTTTCCTAATTTTCCCTTAAATTGATTCTGCTTTGAATCACGTTTCCTAGTTGACTGATCAGGAATAACTGGCAGATTGGAGAAAAGGGTAGGATAGGAAGAAGACTCTATGAAAATTGCAAATGGAATTAAAGGGGGGAATTATTTGACCTAGGGAAGAGACAGGTCCCAGGGACCGTGCTTCCTGTTCTCAAATCACTTAAATATGTCACATGGCAGAAGGAACAGAGGCAGAGAGGTCAATCGTGACACTGGAGCTGAAACAAATTGGGGCAGGGGAGGGAGCATTCCAGGAGAAAGAGCACCACATGAACCAAAGGGAAATTTCCTAACTATGAGAGCTGCACAAAGATAGTGTCAACAATCAGCTATGATCCTTGCCTGGAATGTATGTGTTACAAGTGATCTAGATGTGAGCCTGACAGCCACTTGTTGGAGATGGGAAGGTTGGAACTGACCAGTCAGACTAGGTAAATGAGGGCATCAACTCTAAGATTTTCAGGTTCTTGGAGTCTAAGAACCAGTGATCAATTCCATGCAGTTCCCAGGGTCAAGAACTGGCTGGAAAGCAATAAAGTCAGAAACTCATGATCAGTTCTTTATGTCTCTGTACATTTCTCTTTGTCTTTTTCTTGCACTCATTCATTTGTTGTTTGGTAAGCAGAAACCTTTGACATTTTGCAGGAGATAATTTTCTTAAAGTGTGTTTCTGACTCAGTCTTTGTTCCTTTAGCATCACTAGAGAGCGTGATCTCTCTGGAGATTAGCACTGGCCTGTCACCACAGCAACTGCCTAGGCCCTGGAGGCATCCGTGGTAACAGGCGGAGGGCTTTGCAGTGAGAGCACGCCCTGCAGGGAGCCTGAGAGAAACAAGAAGGTTGTACTTTGCCAAGCTTTCTTTAATAGGATTAGCAATGCAAGTGGGCCTCACCTTACATATTTGGCCAGCCCCTGAGTGATGTGGGTTTGTCAGATTTCGGTAAATGGAGGAAATCTCATTTCATAGGTAGAAGACAGACTCTTTTTTTCCAAGTCTCCATATCAAATCCCCCTCATAAAATGCAGTTGTCTTTTGCACAGGAAATTCTCCACCCATTATGCCATGTCCTGTGCTGTCAGTCTGCTGTTCGATGTCCGTAGCTGGGGCCTAAAGTCCAAGGGCTGGCAAAGAACAGTAGGAACTCAGTTTACTCAGGGGTGGGAGCGGTCAGTGTGTATCAGGGAGAAGCAGGTGTGCATGGGGGCACAATGAGGGGAGGTTAGAAGGGCGGGTCTTGCTTAGCATGAGCAGTTCTGCTGTAGCAGCGGTGGAGTGTCTGAGAGACGCGTGTTCTTGGAGGTACCCAGGATGGAAGGGTCTTTGTCCAGCGAATCAGACATCTTTTCACAAATGGCATCCACCAGGCACTCAAAGGCCTGCCTCACACTGATGTTCTCCTTAGCACTGGCTTCAAAGAAGTCAAACCCTAGGAAGAAAAGAGATACAGGTATGGATTTTTCCCATCCCATCAGCTGGAACCCTTTTGTGCCTCCAGCCAAGCACTCTGGATCAATTTAGCTAGTGCTTGGAAGTGAAGCAAGAAGACCTAATTCTATGGGCAAAAGATTCTGCTTCAAAGAGACAGTTCAGAGCAGGGGCTATCTGCACTGGTTTTATGAGTCAGTCTCTACTACTGACCAGCTCTTTAATTCTGGCTCTTAACTGTCTTTACAAACCAATTCTCTGATTGGAAATATGATACTTTTACCTACCTCATAGAGTTATTTCAAATTTGAAGCAAGATAAAACATATGAAGTATATAGCCCTAATCCTGACACAGAAGGGAGATCATTAGGTGTTTGCAGAAAGACTGAATACATAAATACATATGCAGACACATTCTACTTTCTAAAACATCGACCACAACCATAATCTTATATATTCTGCATGTCACTTTGGAGGAAACAGTGTCAGTCATACCCTCTTCATGTCATTAATACAGACACTGTGGCTTAGGGAAGAATGCTGGCTTGTCAAAGGTAAGTAAAAACACCATTATGAGAAGCCCAAGTTTTAGACTTTTTGAGCAGGATTTTCTTTTTCCTCTGCTTCTCATTCACTCCAGCCCCTTGCCAGCTCTAATCTGGGCTTTGCGAGACATCTCAAAAGCCATAATAAACAAGACAAGCTTATTTTCTCTTTCTACTACAGATATATTGGCTTATCTCCATTTGGTGGGGTTCCTCCCTCCTAAATTCAACCAGAATGATCCTATAGGTCTTTCTTTTCCTTGAAGAAGAAAAAAAAAGATAAAGGAAAACTGCACCTAAAATGTCCCACTTCCTTGATCTTTTTCATACCGAGACCCTTAATGATAGCTTAAGGGACAAAACCTAATTGTCCCTGGACTGACCGGAAGAGAGCCAGACACCAGTCCTCTCCTGTGAGTCGGCACCATTTGTGGACTGTACGGGAGGAGAACAAGAAGCTAAAACCTCCTGTGAGTCAGCACCAGGAAGGCCTGACTGAGGGGAGAGCCAGACACCTACCCCTGCCAGCACACAGGCAGCACAGGCAGGGAGACAAGAAGCGCCAACATGTCCCCTATGCCACCAAGTATCTGGCTGATCCAGAGAAACACAGGCTGTGATGATAGCTAATGAGGTGAAATGCAATTTAATGCTTGCAATGTTTAGTGTTTTACTGACTTTGCAGGTCTAAAGCCCATAGTAGGATCATCTACTCAGAGGATAACAATATGCAATGTAGCATCTACGGGGGAATCTCCTTCTATAAGGTGGCAGCCATTGTTATTTTCCTACTGTCTTGTTTCAAAACCTGTATCATTCTCATTGTTTTGTTTGGCTGGGTTTTATTCTCTTTTATCTTGTTTGATTTTGTTGCATCTGATGGCATGGACTACTGTCTCAAAGATAACAAGATATATTATGTAGTCATTTTAGATTTACTATTATCTTGTTTTGAAGTCCTGTATTGCATTCATTGTCTTGTTTTTATTGGTTCTATTCTTTTTCTGTTTTATTTGATTTTACTATGTCTGAAGGTATGGGCAACTATTATGAAGACAAGAAGAGGCATTATGGTAATCACTGTTGATTTCCTATTATCTCGTTTTGAAATCCTGTGTTGCTTATGCTGTCTTATTTTGATTGGCTTTATTCTGTGGGTTTTTTTTTTTTTTTGGCTTGGTTTTATTCCCTGTAAAATAAAATTTTAAAAAAGACTCAAAACAAAAAAAACCCTAGTAGCCTCAAGATCTCTCCTGATTCAGACAAAGTGGGTGCCTCCCACCTAAGAATCCTGGCCAGCCTGGTGGCAGCTCTTAGAAGCATAAACTACCTTTTCCATCACGTTCCTGCCTCAACAACTCTCTTGTTACCTTCCTTCCAGCCCTTTATTTCTGCTCAAAACCCTTTCTCTTCCCTGTTTCCATTTAGTTTATTTTCCCCTTATGTTACATGGATTTTCTCTGAAATCCATAATTTTTTTTTTTTTGATCTTTTTCATTTTTATCTGTACCGGGGATCGAACTCACAACTGTCTGCTTGCAAGGCAGGCGCCTATGCTGCTGAGCTAAATCCCCAGCCCCAAAATCCATAATATTTAATGAGCACCTATTCTATGCCAGATGCTGTGCTATGTTTACACATATCATCTTATTTAATCCTCATACTATCTTTTCAATTTATAAATGAGAAAATAAAGACTTCAATGGATTACATAACTCACCCAGGCTCAGATGGCTAAATCAGTGGGAATTGAGTTCAGACCTGATTTGTAGCCCCTAGCTCTCATTCCTTCCTCTCTCTCCCTTTCACTCAGCATTTCCCTCCTCTTGATCATATTTTTTTTTTCAAGTCTGTTTGCTTTGATCTGACTGCCACAGTGTCTGAATCTGGGCAAGTCACTACACCTGTCTGAATTGCTTAACCTCTCTGACCCTCAGACTCCTGTCTGTCAAGCAGGAATAGTGAGTGTCTTTCTGCTGAGCAGCTGGGAGGATTGAATGAGACAGTGGATAAACTGCTGTATGAAAGCTGCCTGCTATAATGAGTTCCTTTCTGCTCTGCTTTCATCCTGCTCCTCTCACCTTTACCTCCTTTTCCTTCTCCCACAGAGGAGGGGTCTCTTTCTTCCCCTCATTATCCCACTATCCACAGAGTGGCCTGAAGTACCAGGTACAAAGCTCCTCTTCCCAGCCCTCCCAGCTTGAAGGCACTCACAGTTCACAGCTCCTGCCAGCCCACCTCCTGCTGGCAGCCTCTCCTGCAGCCTATTTCCTGACCTGAGAAAAGCAAAGTGCAGAAATGCTCCTAATTGTGGACCTGTGATGAAAATGGCAGCGGCTGCTCATTATCCTAAGACTGTGAAAACCCAGTCAGATCCACCTTCAGCATACACCTTTTCCTTAATGAATATCACAAAAACTCTTTGACTGGCTATCGGCAAGTGGCAGTGTCTGGAGAGGTGGAAGGAGGAGGGTACTCGTTAGGAAAAGGGCGAAAAAGTAAACCAGTAAATAAGCTAGCTTTCACTATAAATCCCTTCTGAGGAACTGATAAGGGGAGGACATGCCACATTTTACAGGTGTGCAGTGAGGAGAGAGGCCCAGGTGTCAATCTGCATTTGAATTCAATATCTATCAGCTAGTACTATGTTTCCCTGAAAATAAAACCTAGATGGGAAATAATTAGCCTTGTAATTAGAGATCAAAACTGCCAGCCCCAATCTGCCTATCCTTGCCTTACCTGCCTTCTCTATAGTCTTGCTCAGTGGCTACTCTGTAAGGCAATCGAAAACCCAGGTCGTTAGTGAGCACTGACACTGTGCAACGTTTTTTTTTTTTTTTTTCTTTTCTTTTTTTCTTTTTCCTTTTTATCGGTAGCAGGGATCAAACTCACGACTGCCTGCTTGCAAGGCAGGCACTTAGGCCGCTGAACTAAATCCCCAGCCCCTGTGCAACGTTTTTTGTGGAGTGCAGGGATCTGGAGAGACTGAACCTACTTGTAGGGAAGGCACACTAATGAGTCTCAGTTTCTCACTTCTGCACAGGCTTTTACAAAAGCAATTTAAAAATAATCTTGTGATATGGGGAGGGCAAAGGAGGGCTTATCGCTTGTAACTGCAGATAGAATAACTGAAGCTCAGAGACGGCATAAATAAGGGTTTTATCTTTATGCCTGTTTGTTTTGCTCTCAGTTGCAACAGTGACAGACCAAGGTATAACATTCAAACCCAGTTCAACGAACCAGAGGTCACACAGGAATGCAGGAGAAGGAGGGAATGGAAGGGGAGGAAAGGGCAAGGGAGTTTCCTTAAGTCAGTACAAAACATGAGCCGTTAGTGTCAGAACTGAGCAAAACTCTTCATCTAACTTCAGGTCTCAGCTGAGATGTGGCTCTTTGTTTTCCCATGCCTCCCTCCACCACAGCACTTGTTATGCCATGTGGTAAAGTGCATTTGACAGGGAGCTCGCTGGGCAGGGGCTACACTATTCTTCAGAGCCCCAGCACCAGTTAAGGAACAGGTGCTCTGAGTGCTTGCTGAATAATGGACTGGGAGCAAGTACTTACAGTGTGTTTGAGGGGCTGCAGACACTGGGGATCATTACTTCTCACCTCAGTAAGCATGGCAAGACCCCACGTTGGGCCCTGAGGATACTGAGGTGAATCAGATATACAGTGGTGCCTCGGTTTATGAACTTAATTGATCTTACAATTTGGGGGAAGATGGCTGCATCTGTGCTTGTGTAGGGACAATGGTTGTGTTTGTCACCCAATGTGGAGTTTGAATTGAAGCAAATTTTTGCCATATATTTTTGTTTGTGAACCAAGTTATTTGCCAACAGAAGCATTTGTGGACTGAGGTATCACTATAGTTCCCCTCTTGAGGAGCTGCTGCTCTGACATGGGAAAAGGACACATGGACTATAATATAAGTGCTGAAGCAGTGTTGAGCCAAAGGATTGTTGGGACACACAGAAGCTACTTTGCCTAAGCAGACAACAGCTAGAGAAAGACCTGTGATTGCGAGTGTATACATGTCCACATGCATGGGTAGCACACTGGGCAGAAGAAACAGTATAAGCACAGAGAAAGGGGGTGAGAGGAAGCCTGCTAGAAGGACAATAGCAGTTTGTTATCATTACAGCAAAATAACCAAAGCTGTGAGATATAAGTTCATAAGAAAGCAATCATGAAGAGCTCATAGGTCATGTCAATGAGGTATCTTCACTATCATCTTAAAGGTACCCAAAGCATGGGAACTTTCATTCAAGTTACCAGCTCACAGGTCTAGTCAGCACAAGGATCTCTTGTTTAGCAGGACAGACCCCAATGCATCCTCACCCAATTACTGTCAGGCTCCTGAAGGCCCTTCAGGTAACCTTTTTCTCGGCTTTATCAGTAAAGGTTCTCAGGAGCACAGAATCGAGTGCACATGAAGATGACAACCAATTAAGCAGAACAGCCACCTCCAACTGAGACCTTTCCTCCCTCTAATAGGCTTCAGAACATTAAGATTTCTGCAGTTTTTAATGGAGTACTTAACTGAATCCAAGATTCTCTTCTACCCTCAAAGTGCTTTTTTCCTATCCTGTCCAAAGGCAGCCATTATAGATCCAAGACTGAGTCCATACTATATGCCTCTGAGCCAGATTTTAGGTTCTACTCAGAAACCTGTAACTAGCTAAACTTCATGCCCCAACATGGCTCTAGAAATTTCTCTACTATCGTATACTCAAATCCCTTTCCTATTTTGCCACCTCTTCATATCTGGTGATCTGCAATCTTCAACTTACACCCTTCTGGTCACTGATAGTTTTCAGTATCATGTGAACAATTCACTCAACACATTGCTCTTATTATTTTCTCCAGTGAGTTCCTCTTGCATTTTGCTTCAACTATGTCCCTGACTTATCACTTCAACTGTCTTGACTTGGATTTGTGTCACTGGGACTGAATGATGTCTGATTAATTTCAAATCAGCCTCATATCTTAAAACCAAAGATCCTTGTGTTAGTTAGATTTTTATTACTACAACAAAACACTAGACACAGCGTACTGATGAAGAGAGAGGGTCATGTGGTTCACAGTTCAGAAGACTCAATGTCCAAAGGACCTCGGGGCTGTATGGTCAGGGCTACTTTGCTCTACCATCTCATGGCCAACAGCAACAGCAGGAGTGGGTGTGGCAGCAAGAAGATTATGTAGCTTGAGCCAGAAAGCAGAGAATTGGGGAGCCAGACTTTCTACCTTCATTAAAACCCTTTCAAAAGAAGGTAAAAGATCCCACAAACTGCCTTGTAAGGGCACATGCCCAGTGACCCTAAGGACTTCCTGTAGAGCTCTACCTCAAAGAGTCCACTTTCTCCACATTCTGCCACTCTGGGGACAAAGCCTTCAATCACCATGTACCCATGGAGGACACACAAACCACTTCCAAATCACAGCAATCCTGCCTGGCCCAAGCCTTGGCTTTATCACCCTGGCTCACATTATGCTCCAGAAACAGCAAGGCTTTCTCATTTTGTATCTTTGCTCAGACTGTTACTCTCTAGCTTAGTGGTGGTAAACCTTTCAGAGACAAATGCCCGAAGTACAACTCAAAACCCATAGTGCTAACATTTCCATGAAACCTGAATACTGAGGCGTTAGTGTAGAAAAAAGCAACTCATTCATTAACATCTTTTGTCTGAAAAGAAAAACAACATGCATGCCATATGTTTGTTCGCCACCACTGACCTAGCTCCTCCTACTAATGAATTTCATTACTGGCCAATGAATTTCTCATCCCAGAGAGCTTTCCCTTTCTCTTCCCTACCGCATATCCACCACTTGGAACATATCCTATAAGGCTCTTTACACAATTGCTTTATTCAGATTCCAACCAAGAAAATGGGAACTATTCTTATTATTTAAACCAGAGCAAATAGGCTAAATAGGTAATGACAGATTTGAGAAGCCAAACAGAATAGTCAGAAAACACAGAGATCTTTAACAGCAAAAAAAAAAAAATATTACAAGAAGCAAAGGAAACTGGAATCAAGGGAACAGGAGTCATAGAATAAGAGCCAGCCAAATAGGGAGTACCCCAGCTTTTCTTTCTTCCCTGTCTCCAGTCACCTGCTTCCCCTGGGGTGAACCCAGCCAGAAGCCACAGTCACAGGGGAAACCCAGTCCACAAAGTATGAGCTTCCCCAAGGCGAGATAGAGCAAAAGGACTCAGAATGATGACACACAGGCTGGCACAGCTGTCCACCCTGCTTCTCTGCCTTCATTCTCACACTACTGTCCCCTTCATTGTTTAGTCTCTGACATGGCCTTCTTTCAATCTCTTGAATGTTTCAAGCTCTAACCCACATTATTCAGGTGATTCTCCTCTCACTCCTGCTTCTTGCCAAACTTTTCTCATTCTTTAGTTCTCAGCTTGAGTGTTATTTTCTCAGAATAGGCTGGCTTTCCAGACTAAAATTAGGTTTCCCTTTTTCACTTTATTCATAGTACACATGGTGGACTTATGGTACTTTTTTTTTTTTTTGGTCTTTTTCCTTTTTATTGGTACCGGGGATCGAACTCACGACTGCCTGCTTGTAAGGCAGGCGCTTAGGCCGCTGAGCTAAACCTCCAGCCCCGACTTATAGTACTTTTACCTGCCCACAATCTCTTCCTTTTAGGAACTAGCACTTTAAGCAGTTATGGTGGAACTCTGTAGTATAATACTTGCCTCCTCCGGTCATGGGGATGAACATGTGACTCATGGGTGACCAACCATAGTCTTCCCACATGTTTATTATTCTGTAAATCAAGCAGAGGCAACCTTCTGGACCCTGAGAAACTGTGAGAGAGTAGGAACAGCAAGGCACAAGATGACCAACTTCCCAACTTACTAAGCCCATACGATTTGCTAATTTCTAGGTCAGGCCACCTTGGAGAACAAGGGTAGGGAGGGTAGGGAGAAAGAAGTATAGGGGACACACATATGCACACACACCTTACACACATACGTAACACAAATATGCGCAATATAATTCGTATTTGTGTATCATAGTTTACTCTAACTACAAGTCCAAACAGTGATATTTGAGAGATTATCAGAGAATATAATTTAAAACTCTCTGTTCCTCAATAGTTAAAATACTTATGGTATTTTAAGAATATCATAGTATTTTAGGAAGACTAGTTAAAATCCAAACAATTCCTCTATTTTTCTAGAGGAAGATTTCAAAGTTTCTGTAAGTATGGAATACTTTCTCTAGGGCAATTTTACATTAATCTGAGAATATAATAAAATAAAGTGGGCTGAGAATCAAGAGCCACCCCCATCGCCCCCGGTAAGCAACTAGCTGGTTCGGAGGACAGGCTGAGTCGATAGCAACTAAGATACAAAAAGAACTAAATGTTTATATTGTTTGACTGATTTTGCAGGCCTAAGGCCAGTAGTCTGTGCAAGTTAGGAGGATAACAGTATGCAATATAGCAACTACGGGGGATTTCCTTATGTCTTGCTTTTGAAATCCAATATTGTTTTCAGTTTTGTTCTGATTTATTGTTTTGTTTTATTTAATGTTCTGTTTGGATTGGTTTCATTCTGTTTTGATTTATTTGATTTTGCTATGTCTGATAGTATGGACAACTATTGTGAGGATAACAGGATATATTATAGTAGCCACTATTGATTTCCTATTATCCTGTTTTGAAGTTCTGTACCACTGTCACTGTTTGTTTTGATTGGATTTATTCAGTTTTATTTTGTTAGGTTTTATTCTCTTTAAAATAAAATAAAGACTTAAGCAAAGTTTAAGTTCTTCTACAAGGTCACTGAGACATGTCTGAGTAACCTGGGCCCCACAGAGATCAGGGATCATGATGCTTCAACTTTGGACAAGCCACAGTATCACTGAGCTAATACTTGAGCCACATGGTTTTATGCCTTTACACTCTACTTATGTTATGAACTATGTTTTGGTGAGAATTATCAGCTTGGATTAAGAAAAGTGGTAAGAAATAGCCTATATGATATTAGTTGCTTTAGTTCTTAGGAGGATATTTGATATTAAATATAGGGTCACAGTCAGCATAAAAAATTCTACTCCATAGTTGTCAATTACCTCTGTAGAATAATAGGCATCTTATTTTAAGGGCCCATTGAACCATGTAACAGATTACTTTTTCCTCTTTGAAATGGTTGTTAGGCAGCTCAAAGGCCATATTTTGGCCCAACTCTTGCAAAGTCCCAAGAACCTATGATATATATACTTATCTCAGCTGGTTTTCTATTATTTTCTTTCCACTTTTGTTTCTCTTGCTAAAATTCTCTGCTCCTTTCCCTCTATTCCCCTCTTCTCACTACATTATATTTTTAGTAAGCTACCTCAAACCCTTGTGGAAGGAATTGCTAAAAAGTTTGTAAATTTACTTATGTATTCAATATAACAAAATATATACATACCATAAATGATGAATTACTTAAAATTTATAAGGACAAATCCATATGGACATCACACAAATACAAAATATACAGAGAGCACATAGGTACCTGAGTCATAATACTCTACAGTTACAAATACACACACACACACACTTGTCCCCTTTATGTGTCCCATCTCTATGCACACATGCATACGTACACACACGCTGTTCTGCACGTACCGAGCTGTTCTGCCAGGAGCCGGCCCTTCTCAGTGGGAACAACCCTTTCTTCCTCCATGTCACACTTATTTCCCACCAGGATAACCTGTGCATTGTCCCAGGAGTAGGTCTTGATTTGAGTAGCCCTAAAAAACAGACAGAAATGTGTTCACCACATTGCTATGAACTGAAGGTCTTCATTCCTGCCCTCTCACATGTAGAATCCTAAACCTCAATGTGATGGTCTTTGAAGGTGGAGCCTTTGGGAGATTTTTATATCATGAAGGTAGAGCCCTGGTAAATGGGACTAGCATCCTTAAAAGAAGAGAAAGACCAGTTCTCTCTCTCTCCTTTATTTAATGACACAAGAACGTGGCTGTCCCCTGACAATGGATCTGCAGGTGCCTTGATCTCAAACTTTCCACCATCCAGAACTATCAGGTTTGTCATTTAAGTCACCCAGTTTATGGTATTCTTGTTATAACAGCTCAAACTAACACATATAGTCTCCTACTTCAGAAAGAGAACTTCAAGCATTGAAGCAGCAGCTTCCCTTCCATAAGGCTAGCAACACCCAATTTATTTGCAGTTAATTCAGCAAACGACACACATGTACATCTGCACCTGCCAGCTGTCACAGACACCCAAACCTGAACCATTGTTGTGAACCTACCCGCCCCTCTTTGCAGTCCTCTAATATCCTCATTGTACAGGCAGCTCTTTGTAAAATGTGTATCTGATGACTTTGTGTCCTTTCTAAAAAACTTCTTCTGGCTCCCAACTAGCTAGGGGATCAAATCTAGATTTTTCCATTCAAGATCATTCATAACCTGGATTTCCAGCCTCACTGGCTTTCGTCCTGCTTCACAGTCTTTCTCACTCACTCTCTGTATGTTGTTCTGTGCCTGTGTCTGTGCTATTTGCCTGTACTGGGAATACTTCCCCCAGAACTAGCTCATCCTCCAAGACTGTGTGGATCCAACAATGCCTTGCAAGGAGTTTTCTCAAGCTTCCCTACACTCACCTGGCCTCTACCCACTCCTCTGTGGTTTATACGCTTTTGTGGAGGCCTTAGAAACCAGAAGACAGGCCAGGGATTTAGCTCACCGACATAAGCGCCTGCCTTTCAAGCACGCGGTTGTAAGTTTGATCCCCAACACCAAAAAGAAAAAAGGAAAAAAAGAAACCAGAAGATCAGCATATATTTCCTTCACAGAGAATAACTGTGAGATTTGTGTGTGTGTATGTGTGTGGTTGCACCCACAGCCTTTGAACTGAGCTATATCCCCAGCTGTTTATTTTTTAGGTTAAGACAATCTCGCTAAGTCACTAAATTTCCCACACTGGATTCAATCTTATGATCCTGTTACCTCAGATCCTATACCTGGATGATTATAAGACTTTTAAAAACATACTCCTTAAATATATATAAGCTTTTGAAAATGAACAGATGGTACTATATGATTAGAAACAAAATTTTGCCAGAAGGAATAAAATAAGACCTTAAAATTGTAGAAACATTTTGGGGGAATGGCCTAACTGTCCCCAACTACCCTATTTGATGAAGTGACCACTTCTCCTTTTGGTCTCCTGCATATGTACCATGGCACCTCTTTAAACTTGGTGAACCGTATCTGTCTCTCTATGAGGGCAGGTTTACACCTGCATCCAGCACAGAGCACACAGCAAAGAAAGTGTAAGTGAATATTTGGTGAATCAATAGGCCAGTGAATGGTTAATCCTAAAGCACATCTTAAATTAGACCCTACTCTGACATTGGCTATCAGAATCTAACTGAACTGTGCCTATATCTCCTAGACCTATTTTGACCCTGATCCTAAAGCTGATCTCATTGTTGACATTCCTGATCCTAAAGCTGATCTCATTGTCATCTATGGTGACATGCCATCCCCTTAAATGATGAAATTCACAATCACCGAAGGTACTGACCCCACAAAAACTAGGCCCATTCTGGGGCCAAGGATTTTGAGTGGTATGCAGGAATCAGGATGAAACCATTGCCCAGAGGCAAAACTCAAAGGCCAGGGCTCAAGTCATCAGACTCAAGGCCAGTACTGGGTGCCAACTGTGTATCACTCCATGTTACTCTTCCTTACATATTTCCCCTCCTCCCACCCCATTCTCTCTCAGCTCCCAGATTAGCAAGGAGCTCAGGTTATTCTGGGATAAACTGTCAGTAGGTGTAAAAGACATTGTGGTTTCTAAGCAAAATGAACAGAAACTGATCAAAGAAAGGAAAGGGGTCAAGGCTACCAGGGAATAAGCAGTGTGGAGACATTTAAAGAAAGAACTAATCATTCCATGGTAGGTATGTGGCAAGAAGGTGTGGGATTGAGAGGAAGCAGGGGAAGGAGGGGAGAAAAATTATGACTTGGAGAGAGTAAAAGGAAGGGGAAGAGGAAAAAAACAAGAGCAGAAAAAAGGGAAGAATTTCTTTAAAAGGAAAGAGGAGAAGGAAGAAAAGGATGGCTGAGAGGGAGAAAAAGGGAACACAGGCTCCTGCTGATGCCATGGCTCCTTGGCTTGTTGGTCAGAACTAGGGAGTCTGGCGGGCAGTCTGTGAGATCACTCTCAGCTCAAGGGTCCAAGTGGCCAGCAATGCTTCCCGCGGCCATGCCAACTGCTTTATGGGAGGAGGGAGTCCCCAAAGGGTAGTTGCTAGGGTTTAGTTGTGGTCTGACCTCAGAGGGCTCATGTGTTGAAAGCTTCATTCCCAGCGTGATGGCAGTAAGAGTTGGTGGGGCTTTTAAGAGCTGAAGCTTGGTAGGAACTAATTATTCCATTGAGGGTGTTACGCTTTGAAGGAATTAATGTAATTCTCAAGGGACCCTAGTTAGTTCTAGTGACTTAAGGTTGTTATAAAAGAGCAATTATTGGCCCATCCCCATCTCTCCCTGGCTTCCAGTCTGGCCATGTGCCCTTTCTCTCTGCTACATGCTCCTTCCATGATGCTATCTGCCATGTGCTGTGATCAGGGGTGTCTTTGCCAGAGCATTACTATACTGTTTGGACGTTTAGCCTCCAAAGTTAAATAAATCTCATTTCCTCTATAAAAAACTTAAGTGTGTGTTTTGCTATAATAACATAATATTGATCAAGAGAATAGTTATAGACAAAATGAAACAGGAGAGGCTTTGTGCCGGTCAGCACTGCAGCTAGGTCCCTGGCTCACTCAGTTCCTCTGACTTTGAAATGTCCTGCCTTCTGCCATCTTCCTCTGACTGGGGGCAGTGCGCACTGGCCCCCCCCTCTCACATGTTCTCCTCTCTCCTCCTTCTCCTTGCACTTACTGTCCCATGAAGGAAGGTGCAAGTTGTTCAGAAGTTAAACCTCTAAGCACTATACTGATTTCTATTGCATATTGAAACCTTTCTATTCTTTTTCTTTTCTGTGTTGGGGAGTTAGCCCAGGCAGTACTGACATACATCCCAAGCTTTTAATTTTTTTTATTCTAAGACAAAGTCTGACTAAGTTGTCCATGCTGACCTGCAATCTTCCATCCTTAGCTCAAACTGAATTTACAAATTTAGACCAATGTGCTCTTGGGCCTCATACCCAGCCCAGGGTCAGGAGAGTGCTATTTAGATTCTCTCTCACTGTAGCCAGACTAGTCTTAAAATATAAATCTGAAATATTGATTTTTAATTCAAATGGCATCACGATAGGATAAAATAAAAACTTATCCCCAACACAAAAATTGTCATGATCTTCCCTTCTTACCCTCTCACCTGCCTTCTTGTCTTTGCATATTTGTGTACTTTTTCTGGAAATTTTTGCCCTCTGAGTAATTCTTGTTCATTTTACAAAAAAAGACATGTGTGTCATCAACTCCAAGACACCCTTCCTGGCTCTGTAAACTGGGTTCCTGCAGCCCTCATGCCTCTCTTCCTCAATGTACCTGATGCATGATATTTTCATTGCCTGCTCACTGGCCTGGCTTTTCCTCTCACCTGAGAACTCCTTGAAAGCAGGAGCCATGTTTCCCTAACACACAGGATAGGGCCTATCACATGTCAGGGTTTCATGAACAGTTTGCTGAATGAATTAATGAGTGAATGGATCTTGTACCAGTCCTGGACAGCATTGAAGGACTCCTCGTTGGTGATGTCATACATCAGAATAAAGCCCATGGCCCCACGGTAATAGGCTGTGGTGATGGTCCTGTACCGCTCCTGCCCAGCTGTGTCCTAGGTAGGAAAAGCAATAAGTCAGTTTCCTGGAAAGTCTGCTTTGGTTCCTAAGAAGTCTCCAAGCCAAATAACTAATGATCCAAAGTATATTTCAATAGCACCTATTGTGGAAATGTACTGTGCCTGTGACTATAACAAAATTATTTTTAAAACCTCCCAGAAATTAGTGAGAAAACAATCAAAATCCTAACATAAAAATGGGCAGGAGATATGAATGATTCACAGAAGAAATATAAGAGGGTAATTAGTATACTTAAAAGCTTTATTTTAAATAATTCTTAGTACAAATGAGTATGCAGTGAGATGTACAATGGAAACTGGTTTGACTTCTTGGAAATCATTCTTGGAGTCTCAAGGACATTAAAAATGTTCATATTCTTGGACCCAAAGATATTACTTCTAAAAATTTTTCCTACAAAAGTAGCAAATAAGAGAAATAGTTATGCAAAGTGTTTTCTGGGCTGGGGGTATAACTCAGCAACACAAGCACTTGCCTAGAAAATATAAGGTCCTGAGTTTGATTTCCAGCACAAAAAAAGTGATTCCTTATAGTTTTATTTAGACAGTGAAAAAGTATTATCAACTTATATACTCAACAATAGGAAAGGGGCTGGGGATTTAGCTCAGTGGCATATGTACCTGCCTTGCAAGCAGGCGGCCGTGAGTTCGATACCCAGTACTGATAAAAATGAAAAAGACAAAAAAAAAGAAAAGAAAAAACAAAACAAAAACAATAGGAAAATGGTTAAAAACATAAGAATTTCATGTAAATTAATGTATGGATCAATATTAAATGATATGGGACAATGCTTGTGTGTTATATAGTATTGGTAATATAAATATATATACCAAGAATAAAACTGTAAACAAAACTACCTCTAAAGACTAATAAAGATTATCTGAATAAGAGACAAGAATTACTGGAATTTTTGTTTTTTCCACATAATTTTACTTTTTCTACAATGAGTATATATCATTCTTATGTAAAGAAAAATAAACATTTTTTTTTGTCTCCAAATGTCTAAGGCAATTCTTGATCTTGAGCATCTCATAGTCTACCTGAAAAGACAAACACATAAGCAAGCAAAGATAAAACCCACAGCTAAATGTTACAGGAGAACACTGGGATGCTTCCACTGTCCATACCCAAGGAGCTAGCCAATCTCTTCTTGTCACCAAGGTTTTAGAACGTGTAATGCTTGAGAGTGTATAAAGCATTTCCTCTCATATGATCTTATTTAAATTTTATAAAATCTAAAATAAAGTCAAATAAAAAAAGACTCAGTGGCAGAGTGCTTACCTCCCATATATGTGCAAGGTCTTGGGTTTGATCCCCAAGACAACAAACAATAAAATAAAATTAATAAAATATCTGTAAAGTAGATGTCATTCATATCTATATTTTAAAATTAAGAATGCAAAACATGCAGAGAGGGTAACTGACTTTCTCAAGGTTACAAAAATGGTGACAAAGGTGAAGCCTTGAATCCAGATCTTCTGATTCCAAGCTCAACGCACATACCACAATACCTTAACCAGTGAAAGACTGATATCCACAAGCATTGATTGAATACCACTTATAACAACAATGAAAATAAATGAGAGCAACAATAATTACAGAATGCTATTATTTGTACAAAAACTACCAGTTACCCAGAAACGCAAGAAAAATTCTGTGGAGTATATGGTATTACTCTCATTTGACAGGTGAGGAAACTGCGGTTCAGAGCAATTATCTAGTAAGTACCAAAACTGAGATTCAATGATGTCTGACTCCTTTACCTATGATAATACACTGCCTTAGCCATGAATCATACTTCGTGTGATGTAAGAGTGGAATAAGCACCACCTCTGCTCCCAGGAAGCCTCAGAATAGTTATGGAGATGACTAAGACACATCAATGAACTGGTGATTACCAGTGTACCAGAACCAGAAAAACAGTACAGAGAAAATGTGCTTCCCAAGCTCAGATAAGAGAGAAACACGGTGGTTTGGGAAGTTATGGAAGATGTCAAAGTAGATGTAGTGTAACCATTAGGACAGTCTGGGCACTTCAACAACAAGTAATCCCAAAATACCAGTAGCTTGAACAAAAGGTTTTATTTTTCATTACTGATACCTACCCTTTAAGTATTGGCTGGGTGTTCTGCTTTATATCTTATTTATTCTAGAATAAAGACAGACAGAGCAACTGCCAGAGAGAAAGATAGTGCATGAGTCACGTGCTGGCTCTTTAAACCTCTGCTTTTCCCATTTCACTGGCCAAAGCAAGTCAAATATCCACACCCAACGTTTGAAGGGTAAAAATTACAATCCAATAATATGCTCAGGAAGATAACTGGAAAGATGAGAGCGATAATAATTACAGAATGCTATTATTTGTACAAAAACTACCAGTTACCCTGTGGAGTATACGGTATTATTCTCATTTGACAGGTGAGGAAACTGAGGTGCAGAGCGATTATCTAGTAAGTACCAAAACTGGGAGTACAGGTGGAGTCTGAATGGAGTCCAGGAGCATCACCTGCAGATTTGCTTATTTGACAATACAAGGAAAACGGATACCTTTCTAAATAAGAGTTTTCCAAGAAGAGACATAAAGGAAATGTATTTTGACAGTAGGAAGAATTTTTGTTGCTGGGTAATGCAAAAGAATTTTAAGAATGGTGATAAATCTGTAGGCAACAAAGTTATAAGGAGCTTTAAATGCTGTGCTCCAGGGTGGGATTTTACCACTTAGGGCAGTGGCCACGAACCTAGAGCAGATGTGCTGCACTGGGTTGTTTGTATCATTGAAAGCTCTAAAAGGTTTGCAGTCACTGACTTAGGGTCAAACATTGTAAGGCAGGGGGTTAACGTAATTAGAATCACCTTAGTAGTGGTGTACAGAACGTGGAAGGAGAACAAAAAGGAATCAGGACGGCTGGATAGAAGATCTTTGCAATGGTTCAAGTAAGACCCAATAAGGACTTGAATTAGAGTGATAGCAATAAAGATGGAGTAGGATCACATTCAAGTGAAATTATAAGGTATGATGGCATATTACATGCATAGCTGAACAATGAAGGATAACAGTTATGTTTCTGTCAAGGCTCAGTTTCTTCATGACCTTAGCAATTCAGCTCTGGCCCAGACCTGCAAAACCTAGTAAAATAAAAGCGGCATATAACACTATCCACCCTTCCTGAAGAGCACAGGAATTATCACCTCCTATTCATTAAACAAATGTTTAATCTTTGTGTTTCTTATGTTTCATCTCAATCAGCTAACCAGAATATTCCTCTGACCACCTGTGTAGCACTGTAGCACTTTTACCTAGGAGTTCTAGCAAATACAGTACAATGTTCTTCAGTTCATGGATTAATGGATGAAAGGAAGGATGGGTGGAGATGTACAAATGGATGGACGAGTGAACACCTAACACTGGAAATCTTAGGAATTACTGACAGAAGTATTTCTTGCATACTATATTGACACAAAAGCTCTGCAGTTTTGTACACCTAAGAAACTGCAGTAGCGAGGCTGGAGATTTAGCTCAGCGGCATAAGCACCTGCCTTGCAAGCAGGCGGTTGTGAGTTCAATCCCCAGTACCGGTAAAAAGAAAAAAGGAAAAAAAAAAAAAAAAAAAGAAACTGCAGTAGCATTTGATCCACTTCTGTCACACTCTTGCCTCTGCTCCCTAAGCTTCTCAGGAAGACTCCAATGGTTCTGCAGACGGTACCTACACCCCATCTTGTAGGATTTACAAGTAAGTCACTTTCCAGTTCTAGAGGTCAAGGCCTGTCTGAGCTCCTGGACTGCCACCAGTCTCAGTTCTTCTCAGTCTAACTTAATCTTATTACTCTAAGAGTGTTTAGAGCCTTGTTTGCCTGGAGCCTGGCTCTGTGCTCTAGCCCTTTGACAGGAGAGCCTTAAAGCCCAATTAATTGGAAACCCTGATGCATAATCACAAATGAGCTCAGACACAGAATCAGTTTCATCTCTGTGGTCCCAATGGCTGGTATAAGGCTGTGCGATGTAGAGGTTTATATATATATATATATATATATATTTTTTTTTTTTTTTTTTTTTTTTTTTTTAAGACAAGATCTCTCCATGTAGTTCAGGCAGGCTTTGAACTCACTATGTAGCCCAGGCTGGCCTTAAACTTGTGATAGTCCTCCTGCCTCAGCCTCCTGAGTGCTGGGATTACAGGCATGTGCCACCACACCAGGCAAAAAAAGATTTGAAGATTTTATTTTAAGATTAAAAGTTGGAGTTAGGTTTCTGGATGTGAATTTGCCCTTACTGTGTGACTATAGTAGGCACCCTCTAAAATACCTTCTAATAACTGTTGTCTCCTAGCAGTCATCTCTTGTACAATCCCTTCCTTAGGCAATTTATCTTAGTTTATTCATCTATAAAATGGGAATAATAAAAACATCTACCTCACAGTGTTCTAATAAGGATTTTTAAAATTGTAAAAAAATACTCAGCAGTTCTGGTATGAAGTAAGCAGTTCTGGTACGAAGTGACAGAGGCATCAGTTATAGTTGTGCACTTCCCCAAGCCAGCTTCCCAATGCAGTGAACAAGTCTCACACTGTGTGTCACTTCCCTCTCCATTCAAACTTGTCCACAGCTGCCTCCAGCCAGAATCTCAATCTGTTTCCCTTAAAGAGTAGCAACATGGCCTGATAGAAAGGGAATGGATGAGCTTAAAAATGAAAAATGACTCCCAGGTCCGCCATTAATCAGCCTTCTGACTTTGCACAGGTTGGTTATTTTATCTCTTGAAGCTCAGCTCCTTACACATGGAATAAAATTCTATTTTGTAGGTTTTTCTTAATAAAACATTTTTAAATGTATGGCTCATGACAAGTAATCAAATATGAAACTTATTAATTTTTAAAATTAACTTTAAAATTTTTTGTTGTTTTTTTGTTTGAGACCAGATCTCAGTATGTACTACAAGCTGGCCTTGAACTCACTATGTACCCCAGGCCTCAAACTTGTG